ATATTTTAATTACTGGTTTTTATTTTAAATTGACAGTTTAGAGAGGAAGGAGGCGCTGAGCCACCGTAGTAAAAATTCAGGGGGATTTGCACCTTCACTGCAAAACGTATCTTTATTCAATTGATTTTGCCATGAAGGCAGGCACTTGCATTCAAGGACAGTTGGTAGAAGGATTTAATCATTACTGCTTCCATTTAAACTTTAAATCAAATGCAGCAAGTGTTCTTGACTTAGAGACTTGTGATATTTTCACCAACTTGATTCCCTTGGTGCTTTTTGGTGGGCTTTATTGCTCCCTGGGCAGTCACAAATACAGGAGACCCATGCTGATTCCCTGTTGTGTTTCTTCTCCTCCTGTACAAGACTAAAATCATGGCATTTTGCCACAATGTCTGTACCATCCAGTTAGGCCGAGGCGGAATGTGCTGTGAGACTGAGTCCCGTGCTCCTGCCTGGACCATGCACTGACATTGGTTTCATGGCAGCTGGCAAAGATGAGGTCACTTCCCATTGCCCCTGAGAAATAAAATTGAAGAAAAAAAGGCATTTCTGCAGTTTCTGGGGGTGCTCTGCTCAGACCCCTTCCAAGAGGAAAGCAGGAGATGTGCTATTGATTTTTCAATGTGCAGGTGGCCCAGGCATGTTCTCTGCACTGTTAGAATGGGAGCAGATGCTTCATAACTGTAATAGAAAATCAAGGATGCTTCTCTACATCACTGACTTCCCCCAGCGTTTTGGCAAAGATTGTTGGCCCAAGCAGATGTGGAAAGGAGAGAGTGGAATATGAAGTATGTCAGCATCATGAATATTTAAAATATGGTCCACTGTGTGGCAGAAGTACTATTCCTGAGGCTTCTGCTCAACTGGTTTTTATATCCACCCGTGACTTTTTCGCCAGCGTGTATAAGGATGGTACCCAGTTTCAGATAGTTACTGAGTATGGGTTGAATTAAACCATACAGCTTGGGTAGCTTTCCTGCTAGTGCTTTGGTCAGTCGTTACCCCAACACCTACTGTGTTCCCATCTCTCTCAGGGGTCTGCTGTCATTTTTACTCTCCATGTGTGCTTAGCTCTCTGTGGCTTCTCCATCTTGGAGCTTTTGTATTCTTCGGTGATGCTGTAGCAGAGCAGATGGATTAAAGGTAAATGGCTGAAGTAGTCTGGAGAGTGGGGCTGTGCAAGTACGAGTTTCTGCAGCCATCCCTGCCAGAGTAGGTGGTGCATCTGCTTCCAGACTCTCTGGAGATCCTTGGGGCTATGAAGCAACAGCATAGGTTGAAGAAAGCAGAGGTAAAAACTCCTCTCATCCAGCAAGCACAGAGGAGCGGTGGAAGTGCCTGGCCCTCTGGCCCTTCTCCCCTCCTCTTCTTACTGGAAACCGGCCTGGAGGCAACAGAAAGTAAGTGGACACTTACGCAGTTTTTAGCTTCCCACATGGATTTCGTTACTCTGTCGTATGTCATGAGTAAGTTCACTTACGCAAGATGTTTTACTTGCCAGAGGGTTATTTGCTGTACTTCAATGTAATAGTGCTGCGCTATTGCATTATTTGGAAGTAACTGCATTGTGTTATGTATGCTGTATGCAAATACGAGGAGAAAAACCCCACGTAATCTTGATTTTTTCCATCATTTATTCCTTCACTTCTTTGAAAATTATGTCTTGTTATAAAATCACTTCCACTAACTAGTGTTGCATCACCAGTACCCAACGACAAATATGCGTTCCTGGGAAGGAGAGAGGGTGACAGAAACAAACACCTACTCTAATGTGTCATTAGAAATCAAACAGACCTAAAACTTGCTTCTGCTTGCCAAAGCTCAGATCTTCTAAAAGTCTGTCTCCGGCAGCGAGACCAAGGATGCATCCAGATAAACCGTGCTCGCATGCAGACAAAATATCATTGAATGACTTAAGCTTACAGATTTGCATTGTGCCCACAAAGCTGTTTGTTTATGTATTGGATTAAAATCTTCGTTTTCCACCTCTGTTTGCTCAAACAAAGTGAGTACTTAGATCAGTTAAACAGAGTTCTCCATTCATTTCCACTGGCTGTATCCTTTGTGCATTACATCTGCTTCTGTATAAACCCACTCTTTGTTTTGTTTTGAGGTGCTTCTTGAGGCTTTATCAGGGAACAAGTGGCAATCTATAGTATCTTCAAAAGTGGGATGGATAAAATAGCAGTCATCTGATACTGACACGTAAAGGTCACCGAAAGGCACTGCTGAAACCCCCCTGAGCGGGATGGGAGTAGCTGCCTTCGGAAAGGCACGCTGCCTACGGAGGGTGCCTGCATTTGTCTTTCAATACTGAAGGGCTTTTTGCTTTTGAAGTGTCTATTTTTGGTAAGTTGAAGAAGTTGCTTTGCTTTGTCAAATGGCAGTTGAAGCTGTACGTAGGTGTTAAGTAAGTTACGCTTAGCATCGTGTTAGCAAAATGACCTTTTAAGTTGCCATTTACAGTCAACACCAGTCTTTCTGGTTATTGACAGCACTAGTCTGTCATCCTGAGCATAGTTCACAGTTTGATACTCTCCTGGTCGTTCTGTCATTTTCTTTGGATGCAGTACCAGGGTATCATGTCCTACATAGTTTGTCTTGTCTTGTTCAAGTTTCCTGGAAAGAAAAGAGATTTGTGCTTGGATTTGAAAAATAAATACAAATCTCGGTGGGGCTCTTTCCGTTGACTTGGCCATGGCCTTTAGGCTCTGACAGAGGAACTCCAAAAAACCCTGCTGGGCGTTTAAGCCATGTGAGTCCTGTTGATATTATAATGAGATTTACAGTGCTTAAAACCCACAGGGGCCTGACTCCTTACTTGGCATCACCCAGCATTTCTGCAGTCATCCTGGTGCATGGGTACCGCGTGCTGTGTGAATTAATACAGGGAAGGGCTTTTTGGGTTCTGCCGAGCACACTGAAATCATAACTCTCATACATAGTCTTCATGGATTTTAATGGAGTGTTAACATGAAAGCCTACTTTCTCACCCCTTGCTTCGTTCAGGTATGAAAGCAGATGATAAACCCCATTATTTTCTGAGTTACTCTTTCCTGATGTGTGTGGAGGGTGTTTGACCGTACGCCTGCGTGACTTGGGTGGATGGTGTTCTTCAGCCATCCTCCTTCACTCTCAGCTGAGGAAACGTGTGGTGCAGCATTTTTCTAATTTCCTTGCAAGGAAGCCATCAGTCCCTTTGTTCTCTTAAAAAATTAACTGATAAGACTTTCTCCCCACTTGCACATTTGAAACAAAATTAAGTTAAACCAGGGTAGCATTCCTTTAGAGAAAAGCCCTTTATAAGTCTCTTCACCTACATTTCTTCTTCTAGGAAATTACCTTGCACACACATGTATAGATAGATATAGATATATAGATAAATGCTTGAAGAACTATATGTAAACAGCCAAAATTTAGATGTTAATGAAATAATTAAGTTCATGTACAACTCGTAATACCTTTTCCAATGAGATCTTTACGTTTTTTGAATTAAAAACAACCCAAACAACTTAAAAATATTTAAAACCCTCACCTTCAATTAACTTCAGATTTTCCATGGGCCTAAAGTCAAAAGTGGCATAATCTGGGCAAGAATACTCTTGCAACTTCTTTGCATTTGGGATAACATCTCAGTGGAGTGTTCTAGGGTGATCTTGCTAACCAGTGCATCAGAAATAATACAAGAACACAATTTTGTTATAATACACGGCAGATAATGTTACAGAACAAGAATAAACAGCATTTCCACATGTATAAAAGTAAAATGGCAAAAAAGTAGGCGTTTATCCATAACGTTACCTATAATTCAGGGTAAAATAAGTCATAAAAGCCACACCTAGATGCTGGTATGTGTTCATATCCTTTGTGTATGTTTGAAGTTCATAATACAGCACAGGCATACTGTAGCAAAAAGATTGCTATGAAAAATAGATCTGTGTGTGAGCATAAAATAGAGATTTCAATATTATTTTGACATTTATTTTGAAAGTCATCTAAGGTTATGGAAATTGTTGCAAAAATAATTCCTTTACTTCAGAAGTTTCCGTGCAGAAGTTGAATAAAGAAGATATTTTAGAATATGGTTCATCAGTTAGTGCAACAGATACATTTCCCTGAGCACCACATGGCCCGGATCAAAGCGTCTCATGACTTGGATCAGTGCAGCCAAATCATTACGTATTGATTAGAATCCCGCTGAAGGATTAACCCCTTAGTGCTCACACAGTTTTTTTCTTCTTTAACCCAGGTTTCAGAAGTTAGAAAGCTCTATGACGTTCCTGCCCAACCTTAGCAAGGTTAATAGCCCCCACTAACCCCTCGTGCTGAGGAATCCTTTGATTACAAGGTTCCTTTTTTTTTACGATGAATTTTGCATTTGAAAATACATCTTGAATTTTCTTTACTGGGATGTAAGGGGGCTGCACTTGTGCAAAGAAACAGCCTGTAAGAGGGGCGGAAAAAATGACATCCCAAAATGAAGAACAAACTAAACCAACCCAGTAAATAAATAACATGGTGGGAAAGCTAAAGCTGCAAACTTGATGCTTTTCCACTTTCTGTAGCAATGTGGAAAGCCTCGGGTCGGGTTGTATTGTGTTACAAGAATGCACTGCTGTGTGGAGATGACTTTTCTTCCTGATGAAGTTGAATTGTAAATACACAGTGTTCATAAATTTCTTAGCAAAATATCAAGCAGGATATTAAGCAGGTCTGTCAAGTGATTTCTTCCCCATCCATGTAATTTAAATTCTTTACAAAGCTTTTAATTAATGAATGAAATGTAGGAGGATAGCTAAGTAAGAATGACACATGTTTCTCACTGCAAATGGTATTTAATTCTGTTTTGAAAAACCATGGGCAGAGTCAGGTGGGTACTGCGAGATGTTAAGGATGTTTCAGGATCTGTTGTTTGCTGCTCTTAAGAGTCTTTGTGAAGATGAATTGGCGCAGTATCTTCAGTTACACCACTTTTCCTCTTTTCTCTTTCTCTCCTCCAGTTTATCCCACGAGGAGCACTCACACAACCATCCGCTCTATGGACACGGTGTATGCAAATGGCCAGGCTGTGAAGCAGTATGTGAAGACTTCCAGTCGTTTCTAAAGTAAGGACTGTTTTTTTGGCACTTGCATTGTACAGAAAGCATGCCCTGAAATTTTGTGTGCTGTCACTCACCATGGGCCAGATGCAAAGTCCATTGAAGTCAACAGAGAGCTGCCTTTCAGTTCAATGGCTTTTGGATCAGGCTCAAGAGCGTTTTAACAGGGGATAGTAAATTAGCCCCATGGGGAAAGTATGGTCTTGCTCAGTGTAATGCTATAAAATAGTTCATAGTTCCACAGCCTTTTGTTTGTTTGTTTGTTTTTTAATTTATTTAAATAATTTGGAAGATGCAGTATTGATAATATAAACAATGCAACCTTGATTTAACCTTGATTTCACTTTAATTTAAAAATTTAGTCTTAAATTAAGTCCATAATTGAACAGAGAATTGCAGAACATCACGTGAAATTTAATTTATGTCAAATAAGTAACTAATGAACAAAGTCTACACTACTAAAAATAAACTATAATTATATTAATTGGGCCCCTGCAGTTTGCTGCAGACCTTTTCCTTGCTGCCAAAGAACACAGTTTTACACGTTGCATAAACAGTGCATTATGGACTAGTATGTGGTAATGCGTGCATCCTGATGCAGGGAAGGACCGGCAGAGCTCTAATAACTTACACATGGCTGCTCCACAGCGAAACCATCAGCCTCACCTCCAAGCTGGAGCAAAAAGTGTTCCCATCACAAAAGTTTTCTGTCAGGGTAGATGACCAGGTACACGTATGCTTTGGGTGCACCCAGGTTCTAGGAGGTTTGGGCACTGATCTTTTCTCAAGTACTAGGGCTGTAAGATACAGGAGACCAACTGCCCAAGCAATACTTCTGATTTAAATGCACAAAGGGACAGATTCTGCTCCCGTTTACAGTAGTGATCTCATGGAGTTAGTCCACATAAATATACGGGATTCTTCAGGATAGATAGGTAAAATTAGTCCCAAGATGTTTAGCTGTATCTATTCTTTCTGGGGCAGTTCCCTGGATTTTTATGGGAAGGAGGAAGGGAAGGGTGACAGCAAGCAGGGGATGTTTGTTGGATGATGTTAGATGACACAGATAAGTTTTTGTTCTCAGAGCAGAATGGGCCAGTTCTGCTTCCACTGGCAAAACTCTTCTGAATTCAGTAGGAGCAGAGCTGGTCCTAGTATAAACATATGTTACAAGTATGGAATAGTGCAGTAATGAGGAAGTTCTCATTACAAGAGGATTACAAAATAAGAAGGTGCTAGTCATAAATTTCCATAAAGGGTGGCTTTATTTCTTGTAATTCATCCTGTTGTTCACGTAAGTGAAATAAATGCTAATCTTGCCATACTTGCCAGCGTATTCATACACCTATGACATACTATAGCATGCAGACCTGTGAAACAATTCTAAATCATATTGCACTTAAGGCAGGGGAGAGGTGCTGCGGTAACCTTAGATATCTGATTAACTTGTGTAGTCACATAACGTCAGCTTATGCCACCTTTGCTTCCTGTGCTAGTCCCTGTTCCAGATTAGATCTGTTGGTTTCAGGAAGGTTTCCTTCAGAGCAGGGGACTGCTTGATGTGACCACATGTAGAAAATATATCCCTTAAGGCACACAGCATGGGTAGAGGCAAGGTTGACTTTTGTGTATGGTATTTTGGAGATGTTTCAGTAAGTAGACCGAGTTCACCTGGAGGAGATGTACTAGGGGCAGTCATTAGGTAGGAATAACATGAAAACCGTTTACCAGCCCACACTGGACCTGAAGCGGCTCCATTACTTCCAGCTCCAACAATGCTGGTTCTTTTATCACTCACTTATCATCAATCTTTTTTTTTCCCCCCATTGAAACCTTTCAATAGAAATATTTCGTGTGACTTTCTTAAACCCATCAGCTCGTGTAAATTTTCTCATTATTCAAATTCTACAGTGTCCAGACAAAGTCTTATTGTTCAGAGTGATATTTAACCCAGAACGAATGCAGAAATGAATGTCCCCGAGCAGCGTATTGACACTGTTAGGAAGTGAGCATTGCTTCATAAAATGATACTGTAGCCTTCCAAGCCTCCTGTGGAGCATCTGTCCTTAAATTATATTGCCATTTATCAGAATTCATTACTCAGTGAAAAGATAACAGGTAGATGCTTGAAGTTTCTTTCTGATACTTGTATAATCTGTGAAGCTCTTTCGACAGTCCCCTCAAGAGAAAGGGTCTTGTTTACCAAGTGAAATACAGCCTGTGTATCAATCGAGCATTGCTTAATTTCACTTACCTCTGTAAAAAAGCCTGTTAGAAAAAGCAAAGAGAAGTTACATCTGGAATGAAAGCCCTGTATGCCAATAAAATGATTCTACAGTTAAGGGAGAAAAAAGGACTTGCAGGTCTAAAACATGGTTCATTTCTTTTCCTCCTGAGGAAGAAATATCATAACTGTTGGTAAATCAAAACCAGAGATTTGACACTCTTCTGTGATCGTTCTGTAGTGTTTGTTCCCAAGGTGAGGTACACCACAGGGCCCTTGATTTCAAAGATAAATACTGTACAAATAACGATCCTAGTTGTCTTTCACTCACAGCCAACAGGAGGATGCTTATCAGAACCAGCAGATACACAGGCTATTGTATGCATTCATTTCCCTATTTCTTTTTGAAATAAGTTGCAGTTTTAGCATTGTGGGGTTTTTTTATTCTCCCTTTAATCCATCAGCCATTGGTTATCATGCGATGCGGTATCAGTTAGAGCTAACTGATAGCAGCAGGGGCTGCTGCTATGCCTAATGAAACAGTAGCGCCCTGCATGCTCCAGAATTCTCCCCGAGCCTAAAAACAAAACAAGTCCAGTCTCACCGCGGTGACCTGATGGCCTTCTGCCAAGCTGCGGGAAGCCAGGTGAGGGCTGGAGGGTCCACACGTGTCTCGCGTGTTAACCAGAGCCCGACTCGCAGGCGGCAGCGAAAGGAGCAATTAGTAGCACAGAGTGACTTTCCTTCAAAATTGACTGTATCCCTGATTTCATTTGCATGTGTTTAAAGACTGTTGCAGATAGAAATATATACCCCTTATACAGCGAGTTGTGCAGGAAATCCCTGCTGGAGGGAGGCGGGGGGTATTCAGCATGGTATCCAGGGTGAAAAATGAAGAAGACTGAGTAGGGGTTTATATTCCCTCTCCCCCCCCCTCTTTTTTTTTTTCTCCTCCCCCCTTTTTTCCCCCTTTTTTTAAATTTGACTGTATTTTAGACGTGCTTAATCACAGCCACACCATTTTAAGATTAAACCTATTCTTTAAAAGAGGGACACAGACCTTTGGAGAGATCTTGGGGTCCTGTGTTGCAGTGATGCTAGTGATCTGCTTCATGTGCATTTAACTTTGATGAAACGAAGGGGAGTTTATGTGAAAGAAACTACTAAGTGCACTCTGTAATGTTTTCACAAGTGTTTTTATCATGGTAACATCTTGTTTACTTTAGTTGCCTGCCTAAAACTACTTGGAACATGTTAAGAAAACATTTCGAGAAAGCTCCTACAAAGAGGCTTTTGTTCAGCAGCAACTGTGAGACTGCTCGGCTCACAAAGGTGTTAACTTTCAACCCCTTAAGCACTTCCACATGAAATTCCAGCAACTATGTTTGTGGTTTTGGAAAAACAAAGTGTATATTAAAGAAACCAGGTATATGCTAATACATGTTGAAGTAGGCCGGAAATCATAAATTGTTTCAAAGGCATTAATTGCTATCATTTGCATGTCAGAATGTTCCGCGGTGAAATCATCTGCAGTTAGCACAACAGAGACCTTTTAATCAAATAGGTAGCGAGGGCAGAGGAAAGGCCAGTCTGTAGGTGGCTTTTTTAGGGTTTTAAGCTGCTCGCAGGTCCAGTTCACCTCCCAGCTCCCAGGTCTCACGGAGGGGGCTGCCGCCTGGCCTGTCCCCCTCTAAGGGATGCCAGCGAGCGTTTGATTCCCCAGGAATTCGTGGAGCTGCCGTTCAGATGTCGGTGTTACCGATTCTTTTAACACCTCCCTCATAACCTTCCCAGCTTGGCAGGGGGGTTCAGGACCCCTGAGGCAGTGGCAGGAGGAGGAAGAGGAGGCCAGGGTGGCCCAAATCCCACAGTGCCCTCTAGTGCTCCCGGAGATGCTCGTAGGGAAACTTTGCAGCGAGGAACCCAAAAGTAGCATCCCTTCAGAAAACCTTCATTCTTCTCCTAAGCGGGAGCTTCGGAGCTCCGATTAACTCACCTCATTTTTAGTTCTAGGCACACGTATAACTGTTTTTCCCCTCGGGATGAGCATTCAGCTTGTACCATAAAACACCTCCGATGCCTGCCCACTGACATACTTGTGTGTGGCACACGCATTGCAAGGCACATTGTCTTGCATTATTGCGTTTTATATCTTAAGGTGCTCTTAGTTTATGCTTCACATTATAATTTCCGGTGTGTAATCAGAAAGCATTACTTAAGAGACAAGGATCATCTTTGTTTCATACTTTTATTGACACTGTCTACCATATTACTGCGATGTCTAAATGGTAGAATTTATTATTAGCAATAGTGTCACAAAAGTCTGAGACAGCGATTTTCCTTTCAATAAAAGTAGTTAAAAACCTTTTAGAAAATCCATAATTTTGATTGCTGGTACTTCATAAATGTATAACTGGTACTTTTTAGCTGTCTCTTTAGGGAAAAATGAGTTTTATCACCTGCAGTACCTGGGTTAATGAAATTGTGTGTTGGAATTTAGCCAGAATGAAAGATGAGATCATTCGGTGGCACTAATATTGGCAACAGGTCTCATAAAAAGGTTTGACTCTTTTTAGAGAATTATCATTCGGGGGGTTTTTTTCCCTCTTTTTTTGAGTATGGGGGAGAGAGTCAAATTATTTGTCATTTTTGAAGTTTTTGTGGTTCTGAGATTTTC